GCAGCCCCCCATCCCTGCTGATACCCCTCACTCCTGGACCCATAGCCTCCTGCCCCCCCAGCCCTGCTGGTGCCCCTCACTCCCAACCTGTAGCCCCCTGCCTTTCATTTTTCTTTTTTGCTGTCTAAAAAGAAGTAAATGAAAAAAATATAAATTTAGTGCATCAATTCAGGCAACCCATGAGTTAGTGCCATTGCAGCACTGTGCAGCAATACTGTATTCAATACTAAAGACTCACTGTAGGGAACAAAAAAAGCTAGCTACAGTAAGAATTCATCAAAAAAAATCATCAAAACTGCAACAACCTTTTTCCAAGTTGATTTTTATTGAACAGCAACTCATACCAACTGCTGATGGGGAAGGTGACAAGCTAAAAATATAGTATTGATTCATTTTTAAAAAATAGCCATTGCCACCTTTAACAATGAAATCACAAATGCAGTACAGCCAGAGAGAAAAACCAGGAAAACACCAAGGATAAATATTGCACAAAGAGAAATTTGCAATCTAGACTCCCTGCTTCCAATACAGAAGTCTTTATAAGAAGGTCAGATTAACTATAGGCTCTGAATCCCAGTATCCCGTCAGATGTTAGAAATATTTCCTCAACAAATTTGAAATTCCATATATCGAAACATACTTTTCATGACAGCTTCTGAAACTTTTAGTAAGTGAAGTACTTAATGATGGCATATTAAAACACAGCCCATTTTCTTCAGTTTGAAAGATTTTAAAAATTATGTGAATGATGGGTATAACCTTTAAGTCCCCTCTCCCATAAAAACACAACCAAAATAAAATTAGCTGTACAACTGAACCTCAAATGTGGAAATCCATAAAAAAAAGGTTTAAAAAAACTATCATTTTGAAGTATGGCGTAGAGAAGAAATTATCTTCGAGAAGGCGAGGCTTTTAGGTGTCTTACCGTATGTCTATGTCATAGATTAATTCATAGCTTTTATAATTAGGACCATTTCTAGAAATTATTTTAATTATGCCATCAGTGATTCATGTTCAATGTTTATCTAAGTATTACAATTTCCACATTTGTATTATGTATCTATTTTCAAAGACTATTTTCAAAGGCCATTTTTAAAAGGATAAGAAAACATTATAAGAAAATGAAGCAAAACTCCTCATAACCAGAATTGTGTACACATCATAATGTTACTTAGGCAAAAGGTATTTTCCAAAGACAGGCTGTGTATCTGTGTTCCATCAAACAGCTCTATCAATTAATAAGTTCTAAATTGGGGTACTACTAAAGAAATTTTTAGTTAGGATGCCAGGAAATCATTTTAAATGTATATCTAAATTCTATAATTTAGCATAGTAGTATGTTTTATCCACAATTATCGTTATAAAATAGGCCATTTCAAGGGGGAAAAAAAAATTCCATTTACAAGTTTCATTTGATTTTTTACTTATGGTTGAATACACATGAAATGTGCTTTCAATGCATAAAAATCACAGTGGATAGCAGCAAAGGACTTAAGGAAAAATAAGGAGAATTTGATCATTCACATTGTGATTAATCTGCACATTTATGAAAGATAGTTATTTCACACTTCTAAAAACCTTGAGACCATTCTTAAAAAAAGAACAAAAACTGTCCCCCCCAAAAAAACTGAAAACAAAACAAGAAAAAAAAAAAAAACAAATGCATTACTATTCTTTACACACAAAAATGAAATATTGTTATGGCAGCAAAAAAATTTGATAGTTATGAAAGTTTGTAAACTGTATTTCAATCTCTTTTTTATTTATTTTTTGTTGTTGTTCCCAAAGTGCAAGATGCAAATATCCCATAAGCTTTCAGTAGTGCTTCTCCTGTAAATAATCCTTCATTTTGTTTGGCAAAGGCAGTTTCTGAATCAGGTCTATTCGAGTGTACTGACGTATAACAAAACGACACAGATACTGTAAGGAACGCACCTGCATAAATCGAGATACTGGATTTGTCAGTCTCACTGGGTAAGTTGCAGATCCAGGCAATCGAGACCTTGAATAGCAAAACGCGCCATTTTCAGAGTCCCTGATCGAATGTTCAATTAGATCAACTATAGAAGTATGTCCCTCCACATCTGGTTGTTCATAAAAGCTAAACCTACCATTTGAATGTTCAATTCTAGTATGAAGAGTTTTACCATGAGATCGGAAACTCAGGCTTAAAAGATAACGGTCATCAGAACTATCTCGAACCAGAAATGAACCATCGGGCACATTTGCCAATTTTCCCTCTGCCTCCCAACGTGTGATAGGGCCCCAGTACCATCCTTGTTTTGCAAGTTTTTTCAATTCTTCTGTGAGACTTGTCACAACCATAGGACCACTATTTTGTACAGAGTCATACACTCTTCCAACTCCAGGGGCAGAGTTAGGATCAAAATTCAAATGGCAGCGCATACTTTCAGCTACATGGACATCTGTGCCAGTCAGGCCATTGAAGTTCCTTTGGATTTGATTAGTCTGCATCGGAGGTAGCAAAGGTGAGAGTGGAGGGACATCATTGTGGTTAACTCTTGGACTTTGCAACATGACTCCCGTGGTACCAATCAACAAGCCATTCACTGCCTGGTCCACAAAAATATCTGGAGCAACAACCACATCTTGATCCACTTGACCCTCCTCTTCATGAAAAGCATTCCCACCCATTTGGGAAGAAACAGTAGAAACTTCCATGGGTGAGGAACTATCCAGACAGTAACTACGTGATCCTTCCAAAGGATACATTCCCTCATCTAAAGGCACAGTATACTGAATGTAGTCCTGAGGCATTAGTCCAATAACTACAGGCACATGTTCATCAATGTGAAGATGTAAATCCCCATTCTGAGATTCTGTACTTTTTAATCCATTATTTTGTTCTTGGAACACATTATCTGACTGTAAGTCATGGAAGTCCTTTCGAACGCCATTCAGTGCTGGGCTTGGATTAGAGGAGTGGACCAAAGCCTTAACTTTCACTTCCATTTTGATACAAGTTTCTTCTGAGTTGGTTGGCCGTAGGGGCCAGGGAGTTGGACTATAATGGTGGTTACGGAGGGATGTGGATCTTAATGGTCTTTGAGCTCTCACATCTTTGAAGGTTATTGGAGCAGATGAGGAAGAAAAGGTGTCGTCATCAGCAGAGCTTACAGATGGCGTGCTACCTTTGCCTTTCTGCTTTTGTTTCGCGGAAAGCCTCCTTTTTAACGTACCCATTAAGCTTTCACTTTTTGATCTATTTTTGCCTTTTTCATCCTCACTGTTGACTTCACAGCTAGCCAAATCTTTACCATAACAGCTGCCAAACAAGGAGTCATCTTTTCCAAATTCACTTAATGACGGCTGCTGAACCACTACAAAGTCACTTTCATCTTTGCTTTTATTTAAGTTAAAGGACTTGCGAATTGTTTTGAGACTAATTTTCTTCATTATGACAAGTTACCAGGACTGGCTGATCAGCGATGCTTCTGGTATTTTTAGCCCTAACACATGTAGAGCAGTCTTTGATTCATTTATGTGTTTTATCCAGCCTCATTTAACTTCAAGAGCCATTTCCTGGAAACAAATAAAAAGACAGTTTCACAAAAAAAACCCAACAAAATAACTCTGTTAAAAGTTTTCCATGAACTTTGTAAATAAAAGAAAAAGTTCAAGAAATAACTTTAAAAGTCGGTCTCCCAGCTTCCATGCCAGTTTTTCTTATTTTACAATCAGAATATTTATACTTCCTTCCCCCGGGGAAACCGATCAGAAAAAACAATTCTGTTGGTCAACTGGCCTATATACACAAGCCCTGAAACTGACCCACCCACCACTACCCCATTGTTTAGTTACCCCTCCCTTTCATTAGTCCAGACATGTTGGGTGAGGAAGACAGACCACACTGCCTGACTGCTTAGTACTACCCCCTTTCTTCTTCTTCTGTCGAAAGTTGTAAGTGGAAGCATGGCTTCCATCCCCAGCCAACAGAGATAAGATGATGGAACTGGCAAAAGCAAGCCACAAGGCAAAAGGCTACAAGTTATTTTCCCTCTGCTTTCCATCTAAAGGTGAGAAGCTGCTAAGGAACTGTGACTAAACTGTATCATAATTTCACGCCACTCCTTACCTAAAGGCCATATGTTCTTGTAACATAGCTTTAAATGAGAGTATTACAACTACATTTACTCACCAGTAAATAATAATCAACTTTATTTTTAAAGTTTATCAGGGTATTAGCTGACACCTGCACCTAGTCAGCTGACTGGAAGAAAACAGGGCCCTGGACACAGGGGGTTAGTTCTCTGTCAGCAGCCAGGGGGAAGGAGCTCTTGCATAAATGCTACTCAAAGATGCTTTTGTTACCTATTCTGCCACTGGTAAGACTAACGGGCTCTAGGAGCTCCTGAAGTGTCTGGGGCTAGGAGGCACACACTGTTGAGGGAGAAGCATGCCTCCTTAAAGGGGCAGAGTGTGACCTCCAATGTTATTGTTGTTGTTATGTAATAGCCCAGGGGCTTGTATTTACACTGTTGTTTGAATCCGGTAGACTGGGATGAGGCTATTTGTGGGGGAGGAGGCCTCATTAGGGCTGACACAAGCCCAGTGCCAGTGAGGGCGCTGCTACAGGGGACGGAGAGACCACGGCGCCAGAGGGCACTGCTACAGGGGCCAAGGGCCCAGTGACAATGGAAGACTGAGCTAGAATGCAGCCTCATCAAAAGAGACAATGGCTAAATACAATCTGTGAGCCATGGGGTGTGGTAAAGGGGTGGTTTTGCATCTAGCCCATAAGGCTTAGTGGGTCTTGAGAGATGCTGACTTTGAGTGAGACCCGGCAAGGGATCCAGGATCAGCAGGATCTAGTGGGGTTCAGCAGACCCGGGACTACAAACTCATGGACAACTTCTCAACTTATTATTTCAACCAACAAGACATGGCAAGTGAGATCAGAAGGCACCCTCAGGGAGGAGCAGGGACAGTCATGGAGCCCTAGGGTCATCACGGCCATTCTAGGGCACCCCACACCGTGAAACAAAAATTTTCTCCAACTTTTTGGCTCATCCTTTCTTTTAAAATGCAGTAATATCAAAATGTCTTCCTCTAAAAGTCCATAGTAAGTAGGAACTTTCACTTGCTTTGTGGGAGTGTATATAGGAATTACGGAGATATATAAAGCTTTTATTGTTGTGTACACACACACTATAAAGAACAATGCATGTTATAAATGTTTTATTAATATAAATTTGGGACCTCTGCATAATTAGCAAAGTAGAGAGTATTTAGGGAAAAACTACACAAACACAAAACTATCACAGAAGAGGAAAAGCTATATATGCATACTAAAATACTGATATGATAACCAAGGAGGTGGTACATCCTTCTGGCTTTTCTACTTTCTTTGAAATATATAATTTTTCATTTAGGGACATTTTAGGGAAAAAAAATCTGTACATTCACTGTCAAATAAATAGGTGACTTAAAAAGCAAAAGCAAAAGCAAAAGCAAAATCACATGTATTTGTAAAGAACTCAAGACAAAGGACCTGGAAAAATTGTATTGTTGTTTTAAACATGCTGGGACTTCCACTATTTTCTGCCCATGGTCCTCTTGACCTTTTTCTGCTAATGTTAAAATGAACACACAAAAATTCTGTATATAGAGAAAACATGAATACGTTTTTAACATCCCAAATGTCTAGCCTTACCTGGAAACGTTTGCATTTTCATCCATTTAAAATTGTGACTGCTGAGAAGAAAAGATATTTTCTATTTCAACTATGAATATTCTAAGTGTGTGACTACAGAAATTCCCTGGTGGATATGCTGGTACTCGATATAGGCAGGGAGCAGCGGATGGGGTGAAATTTTAAAATTTCAGGCTGTCAACTAGGGATTCTGTTGTTGGAGAAATATAAATCTAAATAATAACAGTAATATTTATTAGATCAATAATTTTAGATATGATCACATTTATCTTTTATATAATCTATATCTATGTGTGGTCAAACCTTTGAATATTAGAAATGCATGACAGTATATATATATATATAGTCATGCATTTCTAATATTCAAAGGTTTGACCACACATATAAAAGATATATATACTGTCATGCATATACATATATATATATACACACACACACACACACACACACACACACACACACATCTATATATCGATATATATAGATATATGTATCTATATATAGATCTAGATATAGATCTATATATATCGATATATCTATACATATAGATATATCTATAGATCTATACACACACACACACACACACACACACACACACAGAGTCACGCATTTCTAATATTCAAAGGTTTGACCACATATATAAAAGATATAGACTATATAAAAGATAAATGTGATCATATCTAAAATTACTGATCTAATATTGATCTACAGATATATGCATGCATGACAGTATATCTAGGACAACTTTGATATGTCCCAGGGTACAATGTTTGTCCATGACAAAGCAATGTAATTTACTGAATTATGGCCCTGGTCCAAAGCATGCTGAAATCAGTTGAAAGACGTACAAATGTCAATGGACTTTTCATCAAATTTTATGCGTGGCACCAGCCTGCACTAGCAAACTACTCAGTTTCTCTCTGTTATTTCATTAAAAAAATAAATTAAAAAAAATCAGATAATAATATTTACTCCTAGAAGGCAGGCAGATAAGAGCTGTTGTACATTGCTTTAAAGATGGACATCAATATGTGCAACAGGGATGGGCAAAATACGGCCTGGGGGCCAGATGAGGCCTGCCAGGCCATTCTTTCTGGCCTGCAGGGTCCCTAAAAAATTTAGAAAGTTAATATTTATCTGCCCTGGGCTGACTATCATGCAGCCCACGATGGCATGCCAAAACGCAGTAAGCGGCCCTCTGCCCAAAATAACTGCCCACCCTGATGTGTAACAATATATTATCAACGTCTCATACAGCTGTACAAAGAACAATGCATTCAGGAAGACACTGAAACGTGTGGAATATTTTAGTATATATACTGATTTCTTTCAACTTTTGGGATGACATAAATCAGTATATTCACATTCACTCATGGAATACATCAACTTGGCTATTGAAATACTGTTTTTGGACAATTAGCATAGCTTGACTTGGAACTGTGTAAGAATTATGCTATTACTGAGATCCTATACAGAAGTGCTTTACCAGTAGTACCTCCTAATTAAAATCTGCTGTGCAGAAAGCTAGAAATGTTTTTGGACAGGTTTGTTGCTGCTGCAAATCTACAGTAAGTTATGCCATACTATTCTCAAGAGTTTGACAAGCAGTCAGGCTAGTTAGGAACCCTCTGAAATTAAAGGATGTAGAAAGCTAAGCAGACAAAGTGAAATAGGGTAGAGAAAGAAAGGAGAGAATTATGAAAGAAGAAACAGCAATAGTCAAACTTTAAAAATACATCAATTTGCTTCCCAGAGTAATTTGGGAGACTGCGGCTGCTTCTACACAAGACGCTGACTGCAGTCATTACTGAGCAGTCATTAAGTAGTAAATGACTGTGCAGTAACCAGTGTTACTGCACAGTAGCATCCCTGTATGGCTTTGTGGTGACAGTGAATGCTTACTAGCTTGTTACTAACGCGCAGTAGCGTGTTACCCACAGTTCGTGCCCTGTGACACTACTGCACAGTAGTAACAAGCTACTGTGCAGTAAGCATCTCGTGTAGACATGGCCTGTATAGACCAGTGTTTCTCAACCAGGGAGCCACGGGGTCCTACTCGGGTGTGCCATTAGGGGCAGCGGGCAGGCAAAACTGCCCCATATGCTTTCCCTGCATTAGGGCTCTCTAATTAACCTAAAGCAGGCAGTGAAGCTAGTGAGCTGTGCAGTTCCTTCTGGTCCACTCCTCTACTCCCCCACCACACTCTTCTGGGAAACAGGCACAGGTGGAACTGTCCCACCTGCTTCTGTTTCCAGGAGGAGTACTTAAAGTGTCATACCAGAAAGAGCTCACAGCACAAGGTAGCTCCTGAAGCTGATCAGAGCCGTAATGCAGGAAGAGCATGTGCATGCGACAAAGCCCATCCTGGCCTGGCTTTGTAGCAAGGAGCAGTTCTATTGCAGTTGAACAGCCCTTCCTGGCAGCAGAACCCAGCTGAGAAGCACTCAGATAAGCTGAGGAAGGAGTGCCACTGCATTAAAAAAAAATGTGGTGGTGGGATGCCTTGATTCTAAAAACAATGTGGACCCCTGTTATAGACCAAGGAAATCTAAGCAGACTACCAAAAGTTGACAAGCCCTTCTAGTAAATACTGGGTCCATCAAAATAGTCTATTCACCTTTGTTTCTTTACAGAAAATAGAAATTAGATCTATACACCCTACACCAAAAGTAATGGGGAAAGGCAAATATTTTGCTACATAAAGTTGTATGCAAACATGACATAAGTGGGAGGTTTTAAAAAGCACCGACACATTTTGTGTAGAATATAAATAAAAAGAAAACAGTTTGCTGTAACACTGATTCTATGTTAAGAAAGATATATGTTAAGGAAGATGAAGAATGTCATGCATTTGTAAATATATGACATA